GGTGTTAGTTTTGTCACAAGACTGATCGTGGAAAGAAAGCTCCTCAGATCCCTTAAGGGCGGCAGTGTCTTCCCATTGTGGCTTCTGAGACCCAGTTCTGGCTTGGGAAGCTGGACTGGAGGGGATTCCCGGTGATGCTCTCTTGTTCATCCGTGTTGGTAGGACCGGGGCTGCAGCCAGTGGGCTCAGCCAGCTTCTCTTTCCTTCAGAAGCACATTGGGAGTGACCCAGGTTTAGCACGTGCTCAGCCCAGGAAACCCAGCAGGTGAGCACAGATACCTTCCTTCCTTTCTTCCAGTTCCCTGAGGACTCTTTGACCTAAAGATTTGGCTAAAAACACATTTTGGAAGCTCCCCACTACCAAATCACAGACACACAGATACGCAAACACGCACACACACACATACATACATACACACACCCTTATTTTGGAGAGGGAGAGAAATCACATGTTTGGCTGGCTGCAAATTTTCCTGGCTTTCTTTCTGATCTCTTGAGGTCAATGGCTAAGTAAAGTTTATGCCTTCTAATCCCCCAAGTCTGTTTGGTACCCAGGTTATTCAGTAAGCCTCAGTAACTGAGGTGAGATCTTATAATAATTTTTTTAAGAATAAAGAATGGAATCAAAGTCCTGCCTTTCCATCTGAACTTCTCTATTGAATGGCTGAACGGCCTTGGACAAATCATCTAACTAACCCTCTGAACCTCTGCTTTCTTATCTGTGAAATGGGCAGAATAGCCAGCTTGTCTACCTAACTTCATATTGATTGTCTCAAATGAGGCTTGTAAGAGAAAGAAGAGGTTTATCAACAGCAAAGGTGTAGACCGGTCTAAGGGCATCCTTTCTTCTGCTGATGACGATGTAATAATCATAGATAAGGTTCTTTAACCTTCTCTGCTTGACATATGACCAATTCAGTGACAAGCTGTCACAGTGTCAGAGAGCCACAGAAAGAATTTGGATGGGAAGAGTTCTTTCATAGTGAAATTTCATCCAGTGGACAATTACTTTGTTTCTTTTATCGTGGAACAATTCAGTTACAACTTCAGTGTAGTTTGAAGGGTTGAGGAGGAGGGAATTCTTGGTAACAAGCATGACAGTACCTTGGTAGGAAGAGCTCCATCAAAACCCAGCATTCTGAAGCCTGTTCCCCAGCATGTATATGTAAAATCATAGCTTATCTGACAAGGGGGCTCCCCTCTCTCAGAATAGTCTAGAATTGGTATGATTTTAGTTGTTCAATTAAAGCAGCTATAGCTGCTTCTGTTGAGAGCCAGTCGATATTTGCTATTTTTCAGAATCATAAAGATAACAGACAGAAGTTTCTTTAAATCAGCTATTTCATGGATTATTTTTGTATAAGATACTGAGAGCCGGTGAGCCAGTAACATGTACACAACTTCAAGGGAAAAAAAGTAAATACTGAAGATACAGGAGGCTGTAAGAAATGTTTGCATACATGCCTGCCACAGTGCCTGGTATATACTAAGCACCCACTATGTGGTTGTTCTTGTGGATAAATGAGCAAGTAAATTAGTGGTCTAAAAAGGAGGCAGTTCTTAATCCCTAAACTAGCACACAGTGGAGCCAAAACATTACACTTTGGTGATAATGGGGAGGGGAAAATTACTATTCTATCCCAATAGTCAAACAAAATAGAAGTACAATGACATTTTAAAAAGAACTAAGTCTTCTTGAAAGGACTTAAGGAAAAAAAGATTTAATTAGATAAATATGAACAGTAGAAAATAAGAATAGCTCAGATTTATTCCACAAATATGTTTTGAACATCTCTGTGTACCAAGCATTGTGTTGATCTCAGGGATACAGAGGTAGTCCTAAGACCTACTACTGTCCTGGGGCTTTTGTATAGTGAGAGATAGTGACCTCCTATTAAATGCATACTATGAATCAAGGTAAAGATACTGAAGGAAAGACTGCAGTTCGGAAGAAGCATCCAACAGAGGCTGGAAGGAGGCTGGTGGAAGAAGGCTTCTCTGAAAATAATGCTTGAACTTGGATCTGAAGAAAAAGAAGAAGCATTCCAGATGGACTGTGAAGGCATGTGCAAAGGCCCTGTGGCAGGAGGAGCATGTTGGAGGAATTTAAGGGAGGCCAGACACTTGGAGTGCAGAGAGTTTAGGGGAGGTAGATTAGCTGTTTGTATATTATTTCTGAGAGTTTGTAATCCCTGGAGAAGATACTGGATGTGATTATAAATAACATGAACTTTTAGGTGATGAGAGCCTACAGGAGTCGGCGTTTGGGGGGATGCCTTCTTCCCATTATGGAACAAGCAGAACAAAACCTAGAGAATGCTCAGAAGGAACCACAAAGCGAGTGCAGCCCAGCTCGTGGGAGGCAGTGGGTGTGATGGGAGGCACGTGGTGAAGAAGAGCATGGACCAGCCTCGCCAAAGTCATGACACTGACTGTGTCTGGAAAGAGGGAAACCAGGGGGAAGAAGGGCAGTGTGACCAGGAACATGGGCAACTTCAATTTTATATAAGATTTGGTTCCTTTTAAAAAAAATCTTCTAAGATATGAAATGTTAAATTTTATTTTTTATGAACACTTGTATATGTTTTATTATTATTTGATTTTTTTTCCCTCTATGTTTAATTTTTTTTCAGGTGGAAGGAAGGGAGAGGGAAGTGGGGGTGGAGGGAGAGAGGAGGGGCTGTACAGGCCTAGGAGTCAGGGTCCTGGTCTCAGCTACACAGTAGTTTTGGTAAATCACTTCTCTGCTCCACAGTTTCCTTAATTAAGAAAGAGAGTTTTGAAGAAGATGATCCTGACATACCTTTGAGCTCTAAAACATTCTATAAGTTTAATTTCTAAAAACAAGTCATTATTGAATTATTGTACTTATAGACTTGAGAGTTGAGTGTCCCGTGTCCACTAATCTCCAGTTCTGTAAGAGTTAGAGATCCAATCTCGCCTGGCACAGGGTAGCCAGTAGCTGTCTTTGAAGAAGGCCAGTGCACTAGGTGACATTGTTGAGAGCCATGTGCCCACGGGATCCTCACGTTCCTTTTGGGCCAGACTCGGGAATCTGGAACCACCGAGAAGCCCATGTCTCTGCATTAGGCAGCTTACTATTGATCACACATCCTAGAGGCTTCTCTGTGGGTTTGCAAGGCACCTGCAAAGACTCTTCATACATAGTGAGGCAGAAGAATTCCATTCCCTTCCCTCCAAACTTCAGATCACAATGACAGTAATGAAAAGGAAACAAAACAAACAAACAGAAGATCAGGTGATCAGATGATGCTAGCGAACCCATCCTTGAAGTAGTAGCAAATTGCAAGACACCTGTAACTGGTTTGCTGACTTTTTTCAGACATCTCTGTGTTAAAATCAGTGTATGTGTCTCTGAGATTGTAGCTACTTGATGAAAAGAAAACTGCTATGAATTTGGGGGTTGTGTTTTTAGACGTTGTCCAGGATGGCATCCTGTACCACTGCTGCTTCATAAATCCCATTTTGTGGTGACATCAGTGTACGTGGCCTTGGCCAGGTCCCCAGTTGTTTCAGGTGTCCCCTTATTCCTCCAGGAGAGTGGCAGCTGGTTAAGGGGAGCCCACACCCCATGGGCAGCAGAGACAGCCCAAGGAGAGGTGATATTGGCCCTCTCCCTGGGCGGTGGCCCCTGCCCAGCGCAGGGAAAGCCCTCCAGCCCATTGGCTGCTTTTGCTTCCTCCTCTGTGGTTCCTCTGATGTGGGCTGAGTTTCCTCACAAAGCACTGAATGAATGAGAATAAGAAAGTGTGTGTTGGCAGAATGACAGCTGAATAGTGCCAAGGCTTTCCAAGTCTGAGCATGAATTTAAGCAGAGCAAAGCTTCAAGTTCATGGGGCTCAGAGTAATCGCTATTCTTCTTAAAATGGAAAGTACAAATGTTTTATGTTCAGAGGGTAACAAATGGGACTCTCACTGGCCTCCTGGCCTGCTCGGTTACAAAGTGGAAACTGTTCCTGATCTTTGCCTTCTTGCACTTGTATTTTCTAGGCAATTAGAAACATTTTCCACTCAACATTTAAAGAGATTTGAGCTGACTGGAGACACTTTTTGTTTTTGGGTTTTTTTGAAACTAAAGTTTCCTTTTAAAAAAAAAAAAACCTAACAGTTTTTCCTTTTTTTGCAAGCAGACTGAAGTTTAAAGTAACAGTCTTTGAAAATAGCACACTTAGACTTGCCTGGATAATTATTACATTTGTCGTGGGATTAGCACCTTCCAAAAGTGTAGTCTACATGAGTATCTGACTTGGCCCAGAAGTGCGGGTCTTCAGAGTATATTATGTGGATTTAGGCAAAATGGACTCAGCCCCACCCACTAGAACTTGCATTATAAAGGCAATTGTTGCAAGTAAAATGGAAGCTATTTATCGTAAGGAACCGGTGGGAAAATCCAGTCTGTTGAAATGGTCTAAACCCTCCCCACCAAAAACCGAAACACCTCATTGGTAGTACTGTTTTTATGAGCTTCTCTAGATCACCTGTTTGCTGACTACCTACAGCAGACAACAGTAACAAACCATGTTTTAATTTCTTATGTCCTTCGCTAGCAGAGTTACTTCTCCCTTAATAAAATATCTTTGCTCCACTTGTCTATTTGGGAACATTTGAGGTTGGTCTTCCTGGTCTGGTCTTGGGCTGCAAATAGTGTGGATAATGGCTCCTACGTTCCCCTCCAAATGGAGGAGAGACACAGACTCACTGAAACTTCCATGTCGGGGTAATTTTATTCCATTATATTTAATGAAAATGAGGAGGTATTCCAGCTAAGATGCTGGGAAATGGCCTTAGAGAAGCCCTGGGCACCATGTGCACTGTGTCCATGTAGCGTGTCACTGACTGCATGTGGGGGACGTGTTCCCTCCCAGCCTCCCCCTCTCCCCGAGCTCTGGCTCTGACCCCACAGGAGAGATGCTGCCGGCGGTGGTCAAGAAATGCCATGAGCCACAGGTAATGAGCTCAGTCTCTGTTTTCCTTGTCAGATTTCCCAGCTGATGACAGAGACTGGCCGGGAGGGCCTGACAGAGGCGGTGCTGAATCGTTACAATGCGGACAAGCCTTCAGCCTGCAGCATCCCCGCCTCGCAGGGCTCCTGCGTGGCCAGCGAGACCTCCACGGGCACCTCGGTGGCCGCGTCCTTCTTCGCCAGGTAAGAAAGGTGTCCAGACTCTCGGTTCTTTCAGGGGAGCCCATCTGGTCAGCCTCACATGTGGACCAGTTTAGTTAAAACACATGGAAGAGTTTGGGGATGCTCTTTGACTTCACTCCTTAAGGCAGAGTTTCTCAACTCAGACTACTGACATCTTGGGCCAGATAGCTCTTTGTCATAGGGGACTGTCCTGTGCTTATAGGATGTTCAGCAGCATCACTGGCCTCTATTTGCCAGATTCCTATGGCACCTTCCCCGGTTGTGACAACCAAAAGTGTCTCCAGATGTTGCCAAACATTGCCTGGGTTGAGAACCTCCCCTCTAAGGATATGTGGCTCTGAAGATGGTCCCCACAGGATGGTGACCTTGTGGGCACAGCCCCATGGCCACAGTTTCCAGATTTATCTTCTCCTTACAGAAAATGAACTGCTAAAAAATTAACTGTTAAATAGATGGCAGTTTTTTTCCTTCTTGACAGACTAGCTGGATAGTTTGATAATTTTAGATATGTTAAAAAAAAACCTGAGACACAAAACAGAAAGATATTTCAACAATGTTTTTTGCCTAATTTTAGCAACCTGGCAGAGACAGGGCAGGGGACAAAGGACAGCTGGGCAGGACAGCACTTCAGGGATTGTTTAATTTGATCTCCTTATTTTATGAATGAGGAAACTGAGGACTGGGAAAGTCAAACCATGAGGTAGTTTATAGCAAAGCCAGAAATAGAAACTAGACTCCTCTGGTTTTTCTTCTGTGACTCATTCTTTATTTGATACTTGCAAGATAACCTTAGATAAACCTTCTCTACCTACGATTTGTGAGCTCCTGAGTTTGCAGGGTGTAGACTAAATAGCATCAGATATGAAATCCGAAGACCCTGTGGTTTGCATTCCAGGTCTGCCTCAGCTTCCTCATCTTCTCAGGGCTGCTCTGATTGTAAATTGTAAAGCATGTGCTATACAAGTGGTAATTCACTATAGACTTCATTTGTGTGTCAGTGAGAAGGAATATCGTTTGGCTTTTCTTGCTATCTTTAGGAATGGTAACATCCAAAGCACAGATAAAAGGAAGAGGCTCTGATTAGGAAAGGAGCAGGTTTGAGGAGGAACAGAGGGCTAATAGTATCCTGGATTAAGACACAATAAAGGCAGGACCTGGGGCTGGCTGGGAGACTGGCTTTTAGGTGCTGGTTGTACCTGGCTGCCATGAATAATTGTGCCAATTTGAATGTATGAAGATATCTATGTTGTGGCCACCTGACCGTGGGGCCATTCTGTTAGCTGTTTGTATATGAATTTCTGTGTTGTCTGGGACCACAGAGCAAGCTTACTGGGAGGTCATGTCCATGCCATTCAGGGAGGGAAAAACGAGATGGAACAGACTATGAGGAAATGCCACAAGCACAGAAGCTCCCAGGACTCTGGTAAATAGATGAATCTTTCAGATGATCTAATTATCTTTGCATTGAGGTTCTTCCCCAAATAATTGTGTCATTGTTGTGGTGGTGGTGGTTTTAATTCATGGCGAAAATGAGGCTCTGGAGGATTTTAATCTATATTCAGAGCAAGTATTGGAAAAATAGTGAAAATTGCCATGAGCTTTTCAAAGGCAAGTTCAAGTTTGGCAAGTTCAGCAAAACTGAAGCTGCCGTGCGTTGTTGAACACATGGATTTTCAGTTCTGTCTCCAGACACCACTTCTCATTATAATAGTTTTTGTTTACAGCTCTTATGTTTAGTTTACAACCTTCGTAAGACCATGACTTTTACCAAATTCAAATGAAATTTTCAAGTAAAATTATATAAAGGGTATTTTTGGTTATTAATGTTTTTTTCACTTCTCCATTTTCTTAATGTAAACACATGCCTTGAAATCTGTTCTCGTAGGTTTTGATTACTTCAGTGCCTTCCACTCCTCTGCCGTCCATTTGCTCGTTGTTGGTCCATCACATTCATTAGAACTTCTCCCTTGCTCTCTTTTCCTCTGTTTTTCCGGTGACTGTTATTTTATTTTTTTTAATAATGGCTCTCTTCTTGAAGATTCTGACCTTTACATAATTTTCTTCTGTTGACTAAAAACACATAGCTCCTGGGTATGCAATTTTCTGCATAGATTTTGATGTCTGCCTCAATATGGGGTTGCCTGCAAATACATTTTGTGGAATCCACTTGCTCTGCTTTCTCTCTCTGGCTTGCCGAGCTGTCCTGTCCCTCATTTCCTTCTACTGATTTTTTGCCTTTTGCCTGAACTCCTTCTCTTCTCAGGGATGTAATTATATTTCTGTCCATCTCCAGCTCTTGTGCAATTTCTTCCATCTTTGCTCTTAGGCCGTTCCATGTAGGACCTAATGGCCTTCTTCAAGATCCTTGACGTGCTGTTGACTGTTGATGACTGATTTAACTGGCATCCCTTTGAGGCCAGAGGTTGCTGTGGCATTAAAACCAAGACCAGCTCGGGTCCTGGGGCCGGGGCTAAGCTGAGCTGCAAGGGCCAACTCCTGGCCCAGAGGCCCTGCCCTCAGACCAGCTGCTTGGTTCACCAGCCCTTGGGGGGCCTGCTGTTAGAGCTCTGTGCCCATGTGCTGCTGTGTACACAGCACTTACTGCTACAGAGAAGGTGCTGCCTAAAAGCCATTCCCACGTGCTTGCTGACAGCCAACTCAAATAGCACCTTGTTTCACCCGTTATAGCAAATGCTGTACGTATATAATCTGGTACCACGAAGGCTTTCTTCAGTCCCAGGGCATGCTGACACGTGACAGTGGGAGTCGGTTATATGTGAGGAGCTTATTAAGTCAAAGAAGGATGAGAGGGAGTGTGAAACTGCTCGTGGTTCTGTTGTTCTTCCATCAGGTACAGTTCCCTTAGGGATGCTCACATCTTCCCATTATAAATACATCAACAATTATTACCAGAGAAAACTCTCCTAAACATACCACAGTGGGTCTCAGGTGATGGAGGAGGAGAAAAGCAGAGCTGGGTGCACAAGAACTGCCTCTTAACTTGCCAGTTCCCTGCGGGAAGACGGGGTAGACGTTCTGCCTCCAATTTTACAGATTGGTAGTTAATTTCCAGCCCCATGTCATTACAATAGAATGATACCTCTCTAAAAAAACACACTAAGAGCTTTTTGGAGCTCATAATGTGGAACTTCTCTGTGTGATTATGATATGTTTCCTGTTTCTTGTTTTGTTTTCATGGAAGCATATTGTGCCCACCCTTGCCTCCTAGCTCGTTCCAGGGTCTCATTCTGACTGTCTGTCCCTGTCCGTCTTTCTCCCGTTACTCCTGACTCCCCCACTCCAGCTCCCTGTCTGCCTCCTCCATGGCTCCCGTGGAAGTGGGGCCGCCATTGAACCTCCTATGGGACACTTGTGGTCTGGGCTGACATATGTAATGGTGCCATTTGCTCAGGGGACAAGGGCAACATTGAAGGGGTGAGTGGAGCTTAAGTCTGGCCCAAACTCTGCTGGCCAAGCTGAGGTACCTCTCACTGGGCTCTGTCTACCCAAAGGAACATCTTTTTCTCAATTGCACAAAGGTACAGTCTGGGCTTGTGTTGCATCAACTGCTCCTGCCCCTTCCCAGAGGGCTAAACAGTGTCAGGGCAGTGATCTTGGAGGGCCTGAGGTAGAAACCAAAACCCTACCCTCTGAATTTTTTGTTTATTTATTCCTGGCAGGCCCTAGCTTTGCATTTCTTAGAAAAGACTCCATGGACTTCTCAGAAAAGAAGGGACTCTGGCTCATGTATATTGACTGATGCAAGGAGTAAAGTTTAGGAATCATAGTTCTGTGAATATCGTTTTGCTTGAACACACATCAGTTGCAGTATGAAAGGAAAACACTAAGAAGGAGCCAAATGTATATTTAGTGTTGTCTGATTTCAGGGGCCCCAGGAAATAGTTTCAGGTGTTTGCTGCCTGAAGAAGCAAATCCTTGATTGCTTAAGAGAGACAGAGAAAGCACTGAAGAAAAAGTGGCCAGAATTCAGTGTCTACACTATTATCCTTTGTGTTCAACAAAATCCTATAACACCTCAGATATGGAACCCTAAATCCCCATACCCCACCCTGGCAACCTTCAGGACTGTTCTGTTTTGAAGTGTGCAGACCATCACAGAATTGGCCCTCATGGCTTAGCCCATGCCATTCTGACTTGGTGATCTCTACTAAAGAAAATGGTCAATGTATACAGCCCCCTCCCATCTCTCACTGCAGGGAATGTGTTAAGATGGGGGCATTTTCCCACTTAAACAAGTCCTTTGTCTGACTGATGGCCAGTTGGGTGCTGGCAGTCAGCTCACAACATCTGGGAATCATTTGTACGGCTTTGCCTCACTGGAAAATCCAGTTCATGCCTTGGTATGGATGCTTGAAGGCAAAGCAATTCCAGTGAGCCTGATGGACCCCAGTGATTCTTGTCAGATATTCTTAGTGGTAGGCATTCTGGTTCTTATTATAGATTTGGGGGGGTTGTTTTTTATTTTTTGTTTTCAGTTGTAGTTTTGAATTTTTTTTAACTGATTCAAGGGTTGGGGTGGGGAGAAGAATATTGGATAAAGCAGAGAAAGATGGAGTGGCCTGTGATGAATCCACAGCCTGCCACTGACATTCTGACTTTAGGCAAGTAACTTAACCTCTCTAAGCCTAGGTTTCTTCTGTTAAATAGAGATCATCATGTCTGCTTCATAGGATTATGGAGAGGATTAAGTGAAAATGTGCTAGTACTTTGTAAACGTCATCTAAATCCTAGAAATGATGTTAAGATGGCACTTGCCATGAAAAGGATGGAATTCTACCCTCAATGGGCAATCCAGTGAATTCTCACATTCTCTTTTGAGTAGGTGACTTGTGTCATGCCTACCTTTACTGTCTGTTTACATGGCACCTTGCAATCCCTCCTAATGACCACCTGGGACCTCCAGGGCAATCATGAAGATCAGGCATCATGGCTCAGAGAACAGAACTGCCAGCACAGGGGACCGAGGACCACAGTTGACT